GGTGGGTTTGGGCGGGAAGTTGTAATTTTACTACTTTTTTATTATTCTGATCTTTGTTAGTATTATAAGATGAACTATCAAATAAGATTCTAAATCCAAATTGATGAAAGAAATCATTTGGCATGAGTTGACATTTATTCCAAAACATAAGATAAAGTTGAGAATATGCAAAGATTTGGGTCAATTTGGGCCGGTTGGATTACAACCCATTGTTTAGCACATCTTGACCCAGTCTATCTTAGCCTAAGTGAACATTGGGCAGGGTTGGGCAATGACCCATTTAATGAGTCTACCCATCTTGACCAGCCCAAACAACCCATTTGCCACCCCTAGTACAATCCAACTAAAACCTAAGCTTTAGAAGCATTGTTACATCCCAGAATAGACGGAATTGTTTGAATTGTTAACTTCACCTACTAATCCTGGATGACTTGGAAGTTATGCCGTTCACAACAATTTGCAAACAGCATAAAAAGTAAAAGCAAATAGCACCTGAATACCGGATTAGGCGCAAACTTTTTTTATGACAATAAATTTTGAGAAAAAACAGACAGACATTATTCAATAATAGTCATAAAGAAAAGATTATCAGGTAACTTTTAGAGATGCAGAAAGGACTGGATGGAACACATAACTACATAAGTGTACTTCGGATATATTTTGCACAGCATTACAAGAAGGCAATTTTATCCTTCAAAATTCTAGCTGTAGCTCCTCAGCAGGCAAAAAGTAAATCAATAGCAGCAGTTTGGTTATAGGCTTATATAAGGCAGACATGCAAGTGCTTATTGGTAACAGCAAGCAGTAATGACCAAATTCAGCATTCTATTGGAATAGGCATTTGGATCGAGTGAAAATACCTGCTGTATGATGTAATCTGCTTGTTGTTTGGCATAATAACGCTCTGATGGATGAAGCTTTCCAATTATAGGTAGCAATTCAGCGTCTGACAAATATCTGCATAACATCAAATTTAAGGATTGTTGATGGATTTACTCGAGACAATTATTGAAAGAGATGTCTAGTTTCTTACCCATCTCCATCTTTATCAAGCTCAGCAAACAACTTTCTAGCCGGAGACTCTTGTGAATCCTCAGAATGATGAGAAGAATCATGACTCTCCTCATCATAGTTTCTCACTAAGTCAAACAGCCCATGAAAGAACTCTTTGAAGTTAACCTTACCATCTTTGTCACTATCTCTCTCCCTGAAATTATATGAGAGCCAAAAAAAGAAATGAAATGATTATAAACAATGTTCACCTACGAAAGGCAGCTTAGCTACAGAAAATTATCCGTTAAGGTTCATTAATAAACCAAAGATTAGTATAATCTCCAATAATGTACCAAACCTACATTTTAATGCACATATACAACTGTAACATTTATCCTATACAAAACTATACTTGCATCTTATACAATACAAGTTCTTAAGAAAGGCCATGAGCTTGCCTCTGGAGCATGTTAGAATATTTAACTTTAAATTGACATCCGATTACTATTTCTAAAAGCTGGAGCTGCTAAAGTCATTGTTTACAATTCTTTTTTATTTTGGTGCTTCAGAGCTATGTCGCCCGGATTCGGGTGCGGGTACCAGATACAGAATACAGGTGCGGATCTAGAAGTTGAATTCTTCATCACATAAATTTTAGGTTTCGGGGGCACAGATCCGAGTACATCTACGGGTGCTGAGATACAACAAACAAATGAATATACAACATGTATAAGTATATATTTCAATTAATTAAAGTTATTGAACAAAAACTAATAAAATTTAATTCATTACAAACACCAAATATCTTTTTCATGAGATATTTCGTCTAATAGCAAAATGTTATCATACTTTATAAAACTATAAACATATGACTTAAACCAAAACCAAATAAAATACCCATTTAATCTATATTTTTTTGTCATAGATGTAGTCAAAGTACCCAGGATAAGTTGACTAAATCCATAGCCATATTAATGAATATACAAGCTCAAATCCTGATGCTAGAGAAGCACAAGTGGAGGCCATGTTTCCTACAACAATGGAGGATTATTGGGCTCACGAAGATGCCAATGGATTTGGAGAATTAGGCCACGAATTTAAAATACTTACACTAGTTAGCCTTAGTCCAATTGAGGCCCAAGAATCTCAAGAAATTAAATAAGTCCAAGAATCCATTCAAAATTAGGATTTCTTTTCCTAAAAGATTAGGATTTCTTAATTCTTGTTTCGGTAGGATTATATTTATATTTCTAGTCAAACTAGGATTGTTAGTTGGTATTCCATTCCTACTAGAATTCTTTTTCCTATATTAGTTAGCATAGGTTTTTCTTAGCCTTATTTTTATTCTAGTTTAAATAAGGTTAGTTTTCCTTAACCTTATCAATTTTACTCATTGTAAGGTCTATTTAAAGAGCTCAATATGCTGAAAATAATTGTTAGATAGTTATGTAAATAACCCTACTCCCAAATGAATAGGAGTAGAATATGTTTTGTACTCCCTTCGTTTCAATTTAGATGAGCTAGTTTGACTCAGCACGAAATTTAAGAAAAGAAAAGAAGACTTTCGAAACTTGTGGTCTTAAAAGCTTAAGGGATAAAAGTTTTGTGCAGCCATGACATTTGTGTAGTTATAAAAGCTTCTCAGTAAGGGTAAAATAGATAAAATGAAGAGTTTAAAGTTGAATTATTTCCAAATTTAGAAATGTGTCATTTGTTTTGGAACAGACTAAAAAGGAAAGTACCTCATCTAATTTGAAACGGAGGGAGTATATAGTTATAAATAGGGCTATTATAAAACGCTTAACAGATTATTAATAATATATTTTCTCCCGTACTTTCTCACATGGTATTAGAGCATCTGTGAGAACTTTATCGTTGTACATAAATTCCAGCGACTCCGAGAAAAGAACTCAGTCAACCGGAAACCCTTTTTCCGGCAAAAACAGGTCTGTCTGCAGGAACAATAGTATTCGTCAGTGTTGTGCAAAAACCAACACCACCACGAAGTAGATCAGCCTCCGGCGACCAACTCTCAAAAGAAATCTCCGGCAGAAAAGTACCCACGCGCCCTCACGCACCGCCGGAAGTATTTCTCCAGTGAAGTTCCGACGTCCACGCGCCGGCAGGTGAGGCTGTTTCCGGCCAGTTTTTGGAAAAACTTCTTCAGGACAGTCTGTTCGACTCGCAATTCCGAGCCTAACCATTAAATTTAAATCAAATTCCAACCACTTTTATATTTTTCCGGCGTAAACAGTAATTTTCAAAAAAAATTATGCTTTTTCCGACGTGAACATTATAATGTCATTCGTATCAAAAGCCTTTGATCCAATGCATTGAATCCAATCCAGATGGTTTCTTTACCGGATTATATTGAGTTCCTTCAGTACAAAGCATGTAAACAGACAACTTCAGAGATAGCTTCCGTTGTTCAAACAGGAGTAGCGTGACTTGTGTCTCTCAATCTTCAACCTCCGAGTCTTGGGTCACTGATTCAGGTGCATTTGATCACATTTCTGGTAATAAATCTCTTTTCACTACTATATCATGTTCTCAATCTCTTCCAATAGTCACAATGGCCAATGGGTCTCAAACTGTGACAACATGAATAGGTCAAACAAGTCCACTTCCTTCCTTACCTTTAGATTCAGTTCTTTATGTTCCTGGTAGTCCTTTTAATCTCATAGCCGTTAGTCGCTTAGTCAAATCACTTAAAGGCTCTATTTTATTTCTTGATGACCTTGTTTTTATACAGGAACGGAGTTACTGCCTTCCTTCTAATCGGTTCGAAGAGAAAAGGAAACAATAAAGGTTCACTATCATTGGTGCTTCCCCCTACACGTATATTGGAGTGAGAGCGGGCGCTAGCTTCCTAAACAGGATTTTCTATGAGGTTACGGGACGGATCATTGGTACCGGACGTGAATCAAATGGACTTTATTACCTTATCCTTGCAAAATCACATGGACTCACATCTTGTCTTCCTTCAACTTGTCTTGTTACTGATTCACCAAATTTATTTCATAAACGGTTGGGACATCCCAGTTTGTCAAAACTTCAGAAAATGGTACCTGATTTATCTCACTTGTCCACTCTAGAGTGTGAGTTATGTCAGCTCGGTAAGCATACTCGCTCTCGTTTACCTCGGTGTCCTGATAATCGAGCAGAGTCACCTTTCACTTTAGTCCATTCAGATGTTCGGGGTCCTAGTCGAGTCAGTTCTACCTTGGGATTCCGCTACTTTGTCAGTTTCATTGATGATTATTCCAGGTGCACTTGGATATTTTTGATGAAAAATCGATCTGAGTTGTTTTCTATTTTCCCGACCTTCCACGTTGAAATTTAAAATCAATTTGGGGTTTCTGTCCGCACATTACGTAGTGATAATGCCCTAGAGTATTTATCTTCCCTATTTCAACAGTTTAAGAACTCTCATGGCATCATTCATCAAACATCTTGTCCATACGCATCTCAACAAAATGGGGTAGCTGAAAGAAAGAACAGACATCTCATTGAAACTGCTCGTACCCTACTTATACAATCTCATCTTACGTTGCGTTTTGGGGGATGCAGTTCTCACATCTTGTTATCTTATTAATCGTATGCCGTCCTCAGCTACCCAAGATCAAGTTCCATTCTCTGTCTGGTTTCTCCATTCACTTTTGTTCTCTCTTCCACCCCGTGTCTTTGGGAGCACGTGTTTTGTTCATAACCTTACTCCAGGAAAGGATAAGTTAGCTCCTCGTGCTCTTAAGTGTGTATTTCTAGGTTACGCGAGAACGCAAAAGGGATATCGATGCTATTCACATGACCTCCAGCGGTACATTATGTTTGCTGATGTTACCTTCTTTGAAGCTCAATCATACTTCACAGGTCCAAGCGATCACTTAAATATTACTGAGGTGCTATCAGTTCCATCTTTTGGGGATTCAGTCACTATCTCCCATTCATCTTCCTCCATAACTCCAGCTCCACCACCTACAGCTCCAGTTTCAGCTCCAGCTCCAGTTCCATCACCTAGTCCCGTTCAACCTTCTACAGCTCCATCACTCCTAACTTATCATCGTCGTCTGCGCCCAGCATTAGGCCCAGTTGATTCACGTCCTGCACCTGACCTTGCTCCTACTGCGGACTTGTCTCCTCCTAGTCCACTGATTGCACTTCGAAAAGGTATATGGTCCACACTTAATCCTAATTCCCATTATGTCGGGTTAAGTTATCATCGCCTGTCATCACCCCATTATGCATTTATATCATCTTTGTCATCTGTTTTCATCCCTAAGTTTACACGTGAAGCACTGTCTCATCCAGGATGGCGACAGACTATGATTGACGAGATGTCTGTTTTACATACGAGTGGTACTTGGGAGCTTGTTTCTCTTCCTTCAGGTAAATCTATTGTTGGGTGTATGTAGTCAAAGTTGGTCCAGATGGCCAGGTCGATCGACTTAAGACTCGTCTTGTTGCCAAAGGGTATACTCAGATATTTGGGCTCGATTACTGTGATACTTTCTCTCCTGTGGCTAAGATAGCATCAGTCCGCCTTTTTCTATCCATGGTTGTTGTTCGCCATTGGCCTCTCTATCAGTTGGACATTAAGAATGTTTTTCTTCACGGTGACCTTGAGGATGAGGTTTATAAAGAACAACCACCTGTTTTTGTTGTTTAGGGGGAGTCTAGTGGCCTTGTATGTCGGTTGCGACGGTCCCTCTATGGTCTAAAGCAGTCTTCTCGAGCCTGGTTTGGTAAGTTCAACACAGTTATTCTGGAGTTTGGCATGACTCGTAATGAAGTTGATCACTCTGTATTTTATCGACATTCTGCTTCAAATCTCTGTATTTATCTAGTGGTTTATGTTGATGATATTGTTATTACCGGTAATGATCAGGATGGTATTACTAAAGTGAAGCAACATCTCTTTCAGCACTTTAAGACTAAGGATCTGGGCAAATTGAAGTATTTTCTGGGTATTGAGATTGCTTAGTCTAGCTCAGGTATTGTGATCTCGCAACGGAAGTATGCCTTGCACATTCTTGAGGAGACATGAATGACAGGCTGTAGACCCGTTGACACTCCTATGGATCCGAATTCTAAGCTTCTACCAAGACAGGGGGAGCCGCTTAGCGATCCTGCAAGATATAGGCGGTTGATTGGTAATTTAAATTACCTCACAATGACTAGACCTGACATTTCCTTTCTTGTGAGTGTGGTGAGTCA